AGTGGTTTGCATTTGATCGCTCCCCTATATATATATATATATATATATATATATATATATATATATATATGTATCATCATCAACAACAAAGGAAAGGAAAGGAGTAATGGCATCGAATTTAGTCACTTCCAGTACTACTGCTTTGTTTTCCTTTCTAGTTCTTTACCTTGCAGTTTCTTTCAGCAATATAGCCGCCAAACACCGCCATTCCACCACCACCAGCGTCCACCACCCGCACCACCGTGACTTAGATGCATCAAACCCGCGACTCAAACAAGCTTATCTTGCACTCCAAGCATGGAAATTAGTAATTTACTCCGACCCGTATAATACAACTTCAGATTGGGTTGGTCCTTCGGTTTGCAACTACACCGGAATATACTGTGCTCCATTTCCAAATGACACTGATATTCTGACAGTTGCTGGAATTGATCTAAACCATGCAGACATCGCTGGATTTCTTCCTGATGAACTTGGCTTGTTATCCGATCTTTCGCTCATCCATCTAAACAGTAACAGATTCTGTGGTGTCCTCCCTCTTTCTCTATCAAATCTCACTTTCCTCTTCGAGCTTGATCTCAGCAACAATCGGTTCGTGGGTCCTTTCCCATCTGTCCTCATGTCCCTCCCTAGCCTCAAGTTTCTTGACCTTCGTTACAATGAATTCGAAGGGCCATTGCCTCCTGAACTCTTTAATAGAGACCTTGATGCCATTTTCATCAACAACAACCGTTTAACGTCTGTGATCCCTTCGAATTTGGGCTCAACCACAGCTTCTGTGGTGGTTTTCGCCAATAACAACTTAGGTGGATGTCTCCCACCAAGCATAGCCAACTTTGCAAACACCATGGAGGAACTGTTGCTGATTAACACGAATTTATCAGGATGTTTGCCGCCGGAAGTGGGGTTTCTTTACAAACTAAGGGTGTTGGATGTGAGCTCTAATAAGTTAGTAGGTGAGATACCTTACAGCATTGCAGGATTAGCTCAATTGGAACAGCTAAATTTAGGCCATAACATGATGAGTGGGGAAGTGCCTTTGGGTGTTTGTGAATTGCCAAATTTGGCAAATTTCACTTTCTCTTATAATTACTTCTTCGAGGAAGAGGGTCTTTGTGGGAATTTGACATTGAAAGGGATCGTATCAGATGACCGAAGAAATTGTCTGCCGAACAAACCTCTTCAGAGGAGCAAGAAGGAATGTGATCCAGTTCTTGAACATCCTGTTGACTGCTACGAGCATCCCTGTGGTGACAAGAACACCGAAGAGAACCATACGTGATGCATTGATGACTCGTACGTACCTTATGCTCATCGATCCGAGGCCTTCTAATCGTAGAAAGAAGTTATGTTATGAATGTATAGAAGACTGTAAAAAATCATATATATGTTACATGTAGTTGTGCATTTGTACTGTAAACTGTTGTTAAATAAGAAAAGGGACTTTTATTCCCTACTATTTTGCAGAATTATGAGAGCTCTCCAATAGAATCTTTATAAGTGGAAAATTAAGATTTTTAGGGTTTTTTTTACTCCAACAAACTTTTTAAACCATTTTTTTTAAAATAAAGAAACCATGAGAGAGAAAGAAATGCTTTTTTTATATTTGGAGGAGAGAGAAGAAATCTTTAAAATTAAATTTTGTAGGAGAAATTAATATAAATAAATAATTTTTTAAATTTATTTTGGAAGAGATAAAATGAGGAGCGAGAACATAAAGTTAATATTTGAAATATTAAATTATTTTAATAATATAATTAATCGTGTAATCTCCAAACTAGATCATTTGTTAGACGCTGTCAAAACCCATTTAAAAGAGCCATCGATAAGCATC